GTCACACCTGAATGCTCACATCCTTTTAATTATGTTTGAAATTATGAACATTGCTCAACATCATGAAAATTAAACCTTATTTTCAATAAGCAATCCTGAAAAATATTTGGGGGTGCTTAACTTTTTTCCAGGTATATATATGGAATGGTGGTTCAAAAGTCCAGTGTGTACAAGCTCTGGATTAGAAGAATGTAGAAGGCCTCTGTTTATAGTTGAAGAACTGATGATGCACAGTATCCAGCATCTTCAAAGCAGAATTCCTGACTGATGCACAGACTAGAGGTTTGTATCCAACTGTGATTACATTAGGGCATAATAAATGCAAAGGAGTGAACACTGATCTACAGAGGGTTTAGAACAGTATATTACAATGATTTTGAATAATCAAATCAGCAAGTCAAGTGACAACCACAACCAATAAAAGGTGGCAGAGTAGCATCATGTTTCAGAGCTATATTTTGACATTTCTTAGGTAGCGTGATGCCACCAAGCATTGAATGCTTTTGGGAAGGGTATGTAAAAGCTCTTTTTTTGATACAAATTATTCATGCATTTATATCATAAAGATGTGTTCAGATTGAGGATTTAAAATTCCTAAAATGGGATATCTCTTGTCAAACAGTCAAGAATTTGCCATGTGCCAAATATACAGGTGCTACACATGTCACCAGTGTTTGCAAACTGTTTTTAAGAAGTGAAATAAACGCACAAATTTAAGTTATATACATTTAACATATATATATATATATAACATTTCAAGCAAGAGTTGTCTTTTAAGTTGATATGCCTACCTACATCCAGTTTCATAATGGAAGTGAAAGAGATTGTAGTTTTTCAGCTAGATCTACCACTCATGGTTTTTACTAATCAGTACCTAATATTATAATATAAAACACTTTCCATAGCAACATCTTAACAAAATTTTATAAAGATATGAAAACAAACTAAGTGTATTTTTTATTCACATGGTAGCCTTAGTAATGATATTTCTCTTTGTAATATTATTTTAGTTATCTAATATGAAATTTAATCCAGTTTAGTAACAAAGTGTCATTCTCTAACTGTTATGGCTATGGAACAATACAATATATATAAATATCATGAAACCCATTAGTAATTTCATTATATTCATTTAAAACTTAAAGCTATATAAAAAAAGAACACTATATCTTCATGTCAAACAGAATACACTTAAAATTCATACTAACCAAATCTTGAGGTTGAGTAAATAGTGTTTTTAAAAGAATATCCACAGGCCTAAAAACACTAGGAGCCACAGCTTGGAAAAGTCGGTGTAAAGTATCCACAGAGTTTTGGTCTG